TAATGACAAATCAAAATGTTTGATCCGTATGGTAAGTCTGTTTCAATACAAGGAGAGTGAAAATATCTTAATGACAAATCAAAATGTTTGATCTGTATGGTAAGTCTGTTTCCGTACAAGGAGAGTGAAAATATCTTAATGACAAATCAAAATGTTTGATCTGTATGGTAAGTCTGTTTCCGTACAAGGAGAGTGAAAATATCTTTACGACAAATCAAAATGTTTGATCCATATGGTAAGTCTGTTTCAATACAAAGAGAGTGAAAATATCTTAATGACAAATCAAAATGTTTGATCCGTATGGTAAGTCTGTTTCCATACAAAGAGAGTGAAAATATCTTTACGACAAATCAAAATGTTTGATCCATATGGTAAGTCTGTTTCCGTACAAGGAGAGTGAAAATATATTAATGACAAATCAAAATGTTTGATCCGTATGGTAAGTCTGTTTCCGTACAAGGAGAGTGAAAATATCTTTACGACAAATCAAAATGTTTGATCCGTATGGTAAGTCTGTTTCAATACAAGGAGAGTGAAAATATCTTTACGACCGGATCAAACATTTTGATTTAAACAGACTTACCATACATTCATCAGTATCAGTGTGCAGTTGAAAGGATATAATAAAAAGTTAACACAGATTCAGTGTTGCCAATATGCAGTTGAAAAGGTATCATAAAAAGTAAGCAAAGATTCGGCAGTCATTGTACAATTAAGATTAAAATTTGAAATCCATTATAGAAACTTTCAAGTTATCGATCCAAAATGTGCTTCATCAGTGAAATAGTAATTTTTAGTTATATACAGTTAAGCAATAAAAATTTCAGTAGTTTTTATTTTATAGATACTTTGTATTTATGCCAAAACACACTACACAATTTCAGATGTAAACACATTATAAAAATGACAGCCAAGCCCGCTGCTAGGTTACGAGTAGCCTATAGGTGGTGGCCAGAGAGAGAAGGCAGCTAGTAACCAGCAGCCTACCACAGTGCTAAATGACTGACTACAAAATGAAAGTGCTGGGAATATTTTGTGGTACTGCACAGATTTTAACCATCTCACCAACCCCAAAATCCTCAACTTTACTACAGGGCTAACCAGTGTCCTATAGTAGATTATTAAGCAAAATTCCATTAGCTTAACTATTGTAAATCTACAGCTTTTTTTCATTAAAGTTTGTTTAAGGATACACGAGTGCCATCAGTGCATAGCCGTCCCTAATTTTGAACTGACAGACTAAAGGGAAGAAAGCTATTCAAGATAATGTACTGTCAAGTCCAGGGCTACTTTGGCCTGACCAAATAACAGGATTTGACTGACACTCTTATAACACATCCACAGTCCTAAAGTGTGGAATGTACTCATGTGGTGATAGATTTTCACTCTCCTCCTTATACAACCCTGTGGTTTTAAGCTTCACGTATACATACTAAAATTGTACATTTTTACTTTATCCTTTTGGAACTTCGCTGAAAATTTATTTTCTACTAAAATCATACAGAACATTAGCAAGTTAATCTAAACATCTACGTTTTTCAGCAGTCCCTAAGTCAAAATAAAACTGATTTTGTTATCAGCATTCCCCGAGATAAACTAAAAGTTAAATAGCTGAAGTTAACTTGTAAATAAAAACACTCGAGAACATTTTACCAAAAACCATTCCAATTCAAGTTCTTTTTCATCAATTTCTTCTGCCAATCTTTTTTGAATGGCTAGAGCTTCTTTTTCTTCTGCTGCAATCAAGTCTTCCTCTTCAGCTTGTATTCCTAAACATAATTAGAATACAAAAACTAAATTTAAAAAATTTGGGTTGATCTAACTTCTGATGTTTTTCTTCATCCTATAGACTTGAAACCAATGATATATATCATTTAACCCTAACACAAACTGTCTATAGTTCACACGGAAAATTACAACACACAGTAGCTACAACAAAACAACTATATTACAGTAATCAGGACTCAAAATCATTGGTGGCTAACTGGTGAAAAGTTGATGGGTTCTAGTGTTTAGCTAGTGACCATCAAGGGTTACTGGCAATTGATTATCCTAGCAGGGTTATGAATATTCAGAACATTTATGGGAAAAATCACATGACAACTAAATGGTAAGCCTTTTTAAGTAGCATGCTGTGCATTGTTCTTTCATATCTTTCAATGGGATTTCCCAAGTTTCAAATATTGAGTAAAAACAATGCATTCAAGTGGTGTTTTCAGTTTTATAATAATATCGTTTTTTTATTTCACCATAGGAATTGTAATTATTATTACAAACATATATATCTAAAATTTGAAAGTATGTTTTAAAATATGAAGAAAAAAAATGAAAATTCAAATCAGCTGACTAATTATATCTGCTAAGGGCATACGATTCATGACAGTCTTTTGTAAGTGTGGCTAGCAACTTTTAAAGTAACTGACAAACTCTTTAACGCTAGAAAAATTAAAAAATACTTAACATTATGCAAAATTATATAACTGCATGTGATACTATCTGCAAAATCCTACTTCTCACACTAAGAATAAATTACACAGTGAACCTAAGTTTATTAGACTTAGATCTGTTAGAGAGGACTAACTTTATACGGATGTCAGTAGTTGAATGCAGTATAGAAAAACAAAAAATATGAAATAGGTAAGGCACAGTTAAGAAATATAGATGTGCAGTTAGGTTTGAAACACATTTAACTGCTTTTTTTAGTATTAATTTTATAACATAAATACCTTGTGCTTTATATAAAAAAACTATAAAAACAATTTTGTTTGAAGCTGACAATGGAGGGTAATACAAAAAAGTACTAATGTTGCTTTGGTATAGAGGTGATTGGAGTAGTTAATGCAAGATGTGAAGTTATGATTCAATCATACTTTTGTAAGGTAACATATTTACATTTTGATTTGTCATTAAGATATTTTCACTCTTCTTGTATGGAAACAGACTTACCATACGGATCAAACATTTTGATTTGTCGTAAAGATATTTTCACTCTCCTTGTATGGGTCTGTGTTTACCTTTTACTATATCCTGTCAATTACACACTGGCAACACTGGATCTGTGTTAACTTTTAATTATATCCTTTCAACTGCACACTGATACTGATGAATCTGTGTTTACCTTTTACTATCCCCTCGACGTGGATTCCTCAATCTGTGTTTAGCTTTTGCAGTCACCTGGTTAGTGCTGCAAGTATTAAGGGCCTTTTTCAACATTTTCTGGTATGTCATTAGAAGGTATTATTATTTGTTAACTACTTCTTTATCTGTTTAAATTAATACAGAACAGTTTTCTTATGAAATTGGCCAGATTCTATAAACTTACCAAACTTATTCTGTTCAAGCTCAGGAATTAAATAATTTAAGTCACTTTTTTTTAATTTGTCACACCTTTTAATTGTACATTGAACAAGCTTATAGGTTAAAAGAAGTTTTAACTGTACATTGAACAAGCTTATAGGTTAAAACAACTGTACATTGAACAAGCTTATAGGTTAAAACAACTGTACATTGAACAAGCTTATAGGTTAAAACAACTGTACCGTGAACAAGCTTATAGGTT